TTTAAGAAAATTACTCCAAGTCTATGTGGGAGGAGGATGTAAAAAGGGGAGGAATTTGGACCATTTATTTGAGCAAATTTTACTGACAGTTAAACATAGTAGTTGTTCTGTTTTCTGCCACTTGACGGTTATTTAATTAAATTCATGACCTAGGATGCTAACCAGCCCCACATCTAAAATAATTGCTCCTCTGTTGGTGAGATGTAAAGCCGGGATTGATTTTCCCCTGGCTGATAGCTCTCCTTTCTGAGTCATGAATGTCATCTCCACTCTCCCCTCCACGTAATTTGATCTCTGTATTTGATCCCTATTTAGTAGTACACTTCACTAAACAGATGTCTGAGTAATTAAAATCCCACATGGGCAAGCCCGTCAGTGAGTTACATCTATTTAACAGTCAGCTTAGAAACATTTCACCCTGGGCTCTTTCACCATCCTCGTGTCATATGTCACAGGCCTTGACCAGGCTTTAAATATTAGAGTTCAAACCTGCTATGTTTGTTCTTCTGCATTGAGCCCCTCTTTTCATTTTTCATTCTGCCTGCATTTATTTTCCTCACAACTCTCTGATCTCTTTCACCTTCAGCTCACCTGGATTTTCTATATAGTTTTTCACCAGCACTGAAATTCTCATTGGGTGAGTCATCCTGTAGTTCATTCATGCCAGCACCAGCAATGAAAAAAGAACAATGTTGTAAGTGTGGATTAAGAGTGCCTTTTATTTCCCCCCCTGAGGCATAGCAAATATTTCAGTCTGAATAATCCCTGCATTAAATAAAAACTACTTTAGATCAAATACTAGAAACCGGTTTCATTTCTACAGGTCACTGAAGGATTTTGATCATTAAGAATTATAGAAAGAATGTGTGGTTGGAAGAGGAAAGGGAAATAAAGGGGTTTTTTTAGATGTGATTTACCTATTTTTGAGAGCAGATTTACATGAAAATTTATTTACAAAAATATTTATGCCTACAGAGATAATTTTTCTACAATTAATCTTTTGATACTGATATAACAATACATAAAACTTGTAATTATCTGACACACGTGTTCTAAATGCTTGTGTAGGTATGTCTGTGTAATTTCTTCTAGTGGTTTATGATTAGTTGTTTTCCATTCAAGTATCACTTAAATATTCACTTATATTTTCTTTTACTTCTTTCATTGTTTTATTTTCACATTTGCCTTTTTAATCCATGTTGGGTACATTTCAGCATATTGTGTAATGTGAGTATATAATCTGATATGTTTTTTCCTCCCAAATGATTGGCCAGTTTTCCTGGTACCAATTATTCAATAATCTATGTCCTCCTCATTGGTAATATTTCATGTATTGGTATATAGAATTTTCTGTTACGACTATCTGTTCTAAAATATTAATCTATCTTAGATTAATCTTTCCTCTGTAGTTTAAAATCATTATAATTATTGTGGCTTTATGGTATATAATGGCAGCTGGTACAGAAAATCTTCTGTTATTACTCTTCCTTTTCAAAAGTACCCTGGCTATTCTCGTCTGTTTTTCCCTCTAAGTAGAAACTACTTTGCTTCAACTTCCACTTGGAAGCAAATTCTACTTGGAATTCGGGTTAAAATCGCAAAGAAAGAAATAGGTACATTTGTCTAGGAGCATTAACAATTTTCTTAAACTATTCAATGTTTCTGCTTTTATGTCCCACCCCCTTTTTTTGTTGTGTGTAGATCCTTTCTTGTTCCTGGCAATATTATTTTATGTGACTAGGATCTTTAAAAGTATATATTCCCCAACAAGTGAGTGTTGAATCATTGGAAAAATTATTAATTTTAATAGTTATTTTATGATAGGTTTTATCTATCTATCTATCTATCTATCTATCTATCTATCTATCTATCTATCTATCTATCTATTTATACATACATACAAGCACTGGGTACAGTCAGAAGCGCGGAGGATGAGAGAATCCACCAGAGCCAGAGACAAAGAGCAGAACAGGCAGAAGGACGAAGTACACTGCTGAGGGGAGCAGCTGGCGGCAGAAGAGGTCTGCGCGCCATGTGGGACCCTCGACCTGCGGCTGGGGATCGAACTGGTACTGCAGAGGCTGCGGGCAGCTTTGCAACCCAGCGCTCAACCGCTGCGCCATGGGGGAGGCCTATTTTATGATAGATTTTTAATCAGATCTTCTGAGATTTCTAGGTAAGCATATCATCTTCAAATATTACCATCTTTCAGTATTTTTACTTCTTATTCCTATTTCTTATTACAAATTTACTTCAGTATAATTTTAAGGAATGATGGTAATAGTGTGTATCTATATTTTATTTTAATGAGAATGCTTTTAATGATATATCATTAAGTATGGAAATGTAAAAATATATACGAAAGTATCTTGACTAGTAAAATGAGTTCTCACGTATCTCACTTCGCTTCAATAACAATAATTTTGCATATGCTAGTAGTTGGATAAGTTAATTGAGCCTTTTTGGATGTTAATTTGTAAATATTTATCATGTATGTTTTCAACTTCAAATATCTATCCAAATACGGTTCTAACAATTTTGATGCTATTAATCCTACAAGTATACCAGTTCCAAAAAGAAAAGACATTCAAGGATACTCACTGTAATTGTATATAGTTGCAGAAAGCTACAAAATATCCTAAATGGTCACCAATAGGTGTGTGAAAAAATATGATTCATTCATGTAGTAGTACTCAGCTTTTATTAAACATTCTGGTAGATCTATGTGCTGATGTAGAACAATGTCTAAACTATTTGAAGAAAAAAAAACAGTGAAAAAAAGCAGAAGATTATGTACAGAAGATTCCATTTGTTTTTTTCAAAGCAGATATTCATATGGCTTTATATGCATGTAAAATGTATGGAAGGCTACCTCAGAAACTTAAAGAGGTTATTTTGAGGAGGAAGAATGAAGAGTGGTGACGGGCAGTTAAAGAATTAACCACAATTTTTTCTCTTCCCTACAGTTTGGCTGTCATAGCATTAGCATTATCATTTTTATAAACCTTATTAGATGAGGTTAATTATTAGTTTAATATTTACTGAAATTTTTAATCCAGTTGTTTAAGGACTAGTTATTAAGATGTTATCATTTATTAAGATTTTTTTATGTGTCCTGAATGTATGATTTGTTATATCAATTGCCTTCCTATATTAAAATATCCTGGCATTTCTAAGATAAAACCTACCAGATCACATTAAAGATTACTTACTTCATTGAGTTTAATTTGCTAATATTTTGTAAGGGAATTTTGCCATTGAATTTCTCATTAAGTTCATGTTTTTTAGTGTTCTCTTTGTACCAGTTTTGAAAGGCTTAAGAATTATGTATGATTTTAAAAATCACATTCAATATCCATATGAGTTTAGAAAATGCATGATGTATCCTTCAAAAATGTAGAACAACTTGCCAATAAGATTTCTAGGACTAGGCCTTTTAAAATTTTGTCCTTGGTTTTGATACACTATGTTATTCTACATCTTCTTGACTCAGTTTAGGTGATTTATGTTTTTCCAGGAAAAAAAAGTGTATGCACATAGATTACTACACAAAGCATTCTGATATAATTAATATTCTCACTATGTGTTATGTTTCATTTCACCTTTATAATTTTATTTCTATTCTTTGCATTATGTAAATGTCAGAGATTTCTCTACTTTCTTTTTTTTTTTTATTTTTTTTTATTTTTTTTTTATTTTTTAATAGAGGCATGCTTTATTTATTTGTTTGCTGGTTTGTTTGTTTTGTTTATACATGCACTGGGCACAGTCAGAAGCACGGGAGGGTGAGAGAATTCACCAGAGCCAGAGCGGGGAGCAGAGCAGGCAGAAGGACCGAAGTACACTGCTGAGGGGAGCAGCGGGCGGCAGGAGAGGTCTGCGCGCCATGTGGGACCCTCCTCTGGTGGCCGGGGAGCAGCCGGGGATCGAACCGGCGCCGCAGAGGCCGCGGGCAGCTTCGCAACCCAGCGCTCAACCGCTGCGCCACCGGGGAGGCCCGATTTCTCTACTTTCTTGCAATTTTTTTTCCAATAAATTACTTTTGGCAATGATCCAAAATTTTGGTTTTTGTTTGTTTTCTCATTCATCAGTTTCTGCTTCAACCATTCTTTAATTTTCTTTTTCTCATCTAACTTTTTAAAAGTATTACTCAGTGCTCTTATTTTTAATCTTTCTTGATAATTTTCCCTGCCAAAAATGTTTATTAAGCTTGGTCTGATTTAAATTACTTTTTAAATTTCAATTTATTTCAAAAATTAAATCTACTTTAGAAGAGGAAGATTTGCTGTCACTGATAATTAAAAGAATATGATTCAGTCTCTTAGTATAAATTTTTAAAGAATTCTAGTGGCAATACATTTTTCTATTCTAAAGGGTCCAATACCTCCATATATATAAAATCTATACATTTGCTAGAACATTTTCTGCCCCAATATATCTGGAAAGAATCAAGCACTAGGATTCAAAGAGAAGTTCTCATGTTTGCTTAATAGGATAGCCTCTGATATTGTATGTCAGTGATTCAAGGTACTTAAAGCTTTTTTTTCTTTTATTTTTAAATACATTATGTGTATTTAAAATACTAACTTCATTGCTACTTGTGATTGGAATTAATTCCAGGTAAAACATTTTCCAAATGCAAAGATAAAGATGGCTTACCTAATATGAAGAAAAAGTTTCACTGTAAAAATCAATTCACTGTGATATAGAAAGAAGATGGTAACTTTTAATCTTCTCATAGGCCAGATTATAAGCAATAAATAGTTTCTAATTAAAAATATTGTGCCAATAGGAGGTAGATTTGCAGCTGTGACTTTTGCAAACAGTCAGCATAAGATCATCATGTGTTTGTAGATTATGTAACAGTGTGCAAGTGGCCAGGAAAGGGAGGATTTTATGGTGAAGAAAGTGGAAGTGTCCTATTTAATTTATGACCCTACCAGTACCATCTCAAATTACTGTTGATCAAGTTACAGATGATTGTCAATTCTGGTGGGAGGGATAATAAATATCTACAAATCTGAGGTCAGAAAAACGGTGGCTTTTATTGAAAATACAAATTTACTGGTTCTCATCATTTAAAATAATGCAAAGAAAAACTGTTTTACAAAGTATTCTTGACCAGAAGTTGCTTGGAAAAGTTTTAACTTATCCTCCCCTAATAATAAGATTTTAGGAAAGATTGAACATGGCTTCATGAATGAACAAGAAACATAACCTTCCCCTACCTCCAAATTAACAGCTTTATGATCATGAGTGAAATCCATTTTCTTTGTTTTGCACCTATATCCTCTTAAGTGTCTCAAAGTTCCAAATGTTTACAGTATGCAAAATCTTATGCTCTGGGAATTTACTCTTGAAGGGAAACAACTACTAACCAACACACTGAAAACCTAATTTTTATCTTTATCAACTTCAGAGGAACACTTATACAAATACATATACTTAGTATTGGTCTCAGCTCACTGTCTCTTAAACTAGCATTTTAGGGCAGAAACAAAAATAATTCTAATTTGTTTGCCATTGTGGCTATGAAATTTTCAGAAAAGCACAGCCCCAAGTCCAACTGCTTTACCTAGAAAGCAAAGCCTGAGGCCAAGTGTGTAAGTGCTAAGATTTTTATGAGGAAGTGCAATCCCAGGGCAGCAAGGGTAAGGGGAAATGCAAAGGGAAGCAAATAAGGGGGGTGGGGGTGGGGTGGGGTGCATCACTGAGCTGCAAACTTCCCAAGTACAGCTGCTGGCTCAGTTCCAAAGCACAGCTTCCAGCCAAGCCAGGCAGACCCACCGGCGTGAAGACCAGCCCTGTCAGTGAGGAGCGGAGAGGTGTTTATGTGTTGGCCACTTACTGCCTTCTGGCCCTTTTCGTGAACGTTTGCCTCAAGAGCCTCCAGGGCCCGCGCCCGCCCCGAGTGTGGTCCCCGGTCTCCCCAGTCTTCTGCCAGGGAAACCTCCAGTTTCCACCTGGCTCTGGGCTGGTGGGCGGAGCCAGAGCCTCCCACCTCAGGGAGGGCCCCCGCCCCCCGCCAGTCTCTAAGAGCCCCAAATTGGGTCCTGGGAGTGGGAGTGTGCAAACCTGGGGGGGTGCACAACTGGGTGGAGTACAGCCTTCTAGGATCTGCGCTTTCCCTCGCGCTGGTTCTTGGGGGAGGAAGAGGAGCCCCTCAGTTCACAGGCCGCCACATTCGTGCTCAGATTTTGTGCTCAGTGTCCCCCCTCCCCGCAATCACCCCCAGCCACTACCTTAACTCTTGGCCCGCAAAGACGTCCCGCAACATTTTTGAGATGTAACTGCAATGTGATAAAATCAAGCTGTTTAAAGACAACAGTGACCAACTGTGGCGACTGAGGATCCCGTAACTCCCCCTCCTGTCAAGCCCAGAACTTGCTCCACCGCTCCCCAAGGTCTCCTCGGGCTCCCCTGCGTCCCCCCAGGCGACCACTCGCCGTCTCCTCACAGGAGACGTTTTCATTTCCCCTCGCGTGGCCGCGGGTGTCGTTCTGCTCTGCCCGGGCGCGCTCACCCCGCGCCGGAAACGGGGGCGCCTGTCCCCGCACGCGGTCAGCGGAGCCCACCTTTGTGCTCCACGGCGGAGGCGCCGGGCTCGGGACGCCCCGCCCCGGCGCTTGGGAGGAGGCCCCGGGACGCGCCTGCCCCTCGGCCCCCCGGGTTTGGACGAGCCACGGCGACGCGGCCCGGCCGAGGTGGCAGCGCCCGGGGGAGCGGCGGGCGCGCGGGAGCCGCCACGTCCCCGCGGACGCGTCCCGGCGGGGCCCCCTCACCGGCGTTTCCCTCCGCGCGGCCGGCGCTACTTCCCGCCGGGGCGAGGGCGAGGGCGGGGGAGGCCTTGGAGCCGGGGGTCGGCGGGGCCGCCCGCTGCGCGTCTCGCGGCTGGAGGCGGCTGAGCGCGGGGTCGCCTCGCGGCCCCCACCACCTCCACAGGCAGCCGGCGCGTCCCCGCCCGCGAGGCTCGAGATTGTTTTCAAGACACGGGGGACCCTGAGATGGGGGCGCCGCCCTCCGCCCGGGCGGCCGGAGCCGCTGTGGTGGGGCCGCCTGACGGGTGGAGCGCGGCACCCCGGGCGGCGGGGGACGGAGGCGGCTTTGTCTGCGGGGAAGGGGCTGTTGTCCGACGCCCCGAGCGCGCGGCCGCCCCAGCCACCCTCCGCGGGGGGCGGGGACCGCCTGCGGCTACTCCGACTCCGTGAAGGAGGAAACACCCGGCCCCCCATTCCCCCTCAGAGGGAGCCGCGGAGACCTGTCTCCGGCCGCGCGTCCCCGTCTCCTCGGCTGCTTCCTTCTCTCAAAGCTCAGGGACGCGCGTTCCCTTCGGACCCGATAACGGCGTTTGCTCCCCAGAAGTAGCTGCATTCGGGGAGCGCGGGGGTGGGCGCTGCCCCCCGCGCTCGGGGCCTGGACTGAGCCGCGGCTGCCGAATCCTCCCCGGAGCGCCAGACAGAAGCCCTGAGGGAAACGCGCGGCCCAGGGAGGCTGTGGAGAGAGAAGGGGAGAGGGCGGGGGAGCAGGGGCCGTCGGGGGTGCGGGGTGGTTCCGTCACCAGAGGCCGGGACTGGGACTATCCGGCGGGGTGCCTGCTCGGAGAAGGGGGGCGACCACTGGGTCTTCAGGTCCGCTGGGCAGGCGGCTGTGGTTCGTCTACACCAGATGCGGTGACAGAAAGAAAGTGGTCGAGTCATGTTTGACAGCCCCAAAGTAACGTGTGGGGTCAGAGCTGCTTGTTACGATTATCTCCCATCCTCTTCCTTTGTTTCTGGTCACAGCACTTATCGCCACCTGATAACGTCTCATATTTTGCTTGTTTATTCGTCGTCTTCTCTCCCTGCTTCCTCTACTCCGGAGAGAGCTGGGAGTTGTCTGTTCAGGGCTGTGCCCTGCAGCCTGGCACAGTTCCTGGCAGAGTGCTGGGATTTCAGTATTCAACTGAATCAATGAATAAAAAACAAACTTCCCGTTATTTAATGGTTTTGTGAGAGATTCAAGGCAAATTTACCCCTTTAATTGTGCTTCACAAGAGAGAGTCTATTCCATTTTCCAAAGAAGAAAAATGTGAGAAATGAACTCTCACACTCACGGTGCTAGCCATTCTATTCTAAGGATTGATTCTCTGAGGTGAACCCACCAAAAGCCTATGAAGAAAATGTTAGTCCTTTCCTACCTGTTCCTCTGAGTCCCTGAGATACATTCTTTCCTCCATTTGGGAGGTCTGGGTGCTGTGTGCTGGGCAACACATCACGGGGTTTGGGGACATTCAGCACACAAGATGGACATCAATGTGCCAGAGTTTCTTCTGTGCTGGTGTCTCTATCATGGACACTTGGAGACACATCTGCGGAGAATGTTTCACTTGAAAATCAGCTAGTTTTCTACTACCTGAACTCCCTTTCAAAAATGGCCCCACAGGATGTTGATTAGTAATTGATGGATTCCTTTTGAAAGAAAGAAAAATAGCTTATTTTGACAGTAGAAAAGGATCAGAATAATCAATTCCTCTGAGAAACTACCTCTGTCTCAACTTCCATTTCTTTGTAACTTGATTAGGAAAGGGCCATACATTGAGAAAGCTTATAATACCTGACGGAATATAGTTGGAAAGTTTTTCATAAAAATATAAGTTTCAGACTAAAATCCCTCTCCTGATTTGTTTTGTCCACAACCGGACCTCTTCCATCACTTCAATGTCTTTTTCTTTATCTTTGATTTGCCACCTTTTGAAACCACCTTTTTTCAAAACATGCTGTTTTCTGCCCCTTACTTCATACCAATGATATCAGATACAACTAGATGATGAAATAAAATCCTTTTAACTTTTTACCAGACAGAATTTACTTCTCAAATTTTCTTTTTCTGGCTGCATTTTTTTTTTTTTAAGTTCAAATATGTTCTTTCTAGATCCTTCAGTTGCCTGTTGTGTAAGTGTAGATAACTACTATTCAATCAGCTTTTATCCTTCCATGAGAAAATTAACTTTACCCAGAATTTGACCATACCTATCTTATAGTAGTATCTAACAATGCAGAGAATAGCAAAATGAAATAAATTTAAAAAAATTAAAAAATAGAGGCATTCCTTTCCTAGATTTTATTTTTACTAGTAAATTGAATGCTGGCTGAGGGTCTCAGAATACATATGATTTACAACAGGGATCCAGTCTAAGCTGTACAAATTCTGATTTTTTCCATCAGTTTTCTCTAAAGTTAGTCACTCTCATTCAGTCCAAAAAGCTCACTGGCCCGAATATTCCTTAAAATCAATGGCTTACCAATAATCCTCCCCCTTACCCATTTCACATTTAGTTGTACTGTATTTCAGACTCAAACATTCTTCTGAACTTCCCTATTTGCCTGATCGTTCTCTTCAGCCTCAATTAAGGCAGATAACTGACTTCCTCTCTGCAGCACCATTCTTCCCTGCTCAACAACACCCCCCACCTCAATTGCTGAAGCCCAGGCTTTAGGCCTGGTTTAACCAACCTGCTATTAAGTCTTTCAACCCCGATTGACAGAATTATTTGGGAAATTTAAAAAATACAGTCAATATCCTTTTGCTCTCTAGAAGTTTCCAGGGATCTCCAATGTCAATGGTTAGTATTTTTAAGCAGATGTGGCACCAGGCACAGATTGCAGTTAATAAGGGGTAAAAGGCTGGGAGTTGTTCTCTTTTTCCTCCATAGCAGAATCTTATCTTGGGGTGTCCACTCCTGTTGTTCACAGGTGCTTGAGCTCTAGTTTGTTTCAGCATTCTTTGCAGGGGGGCCAAGTGTTTGGGGTATCTCATCCTGGGGTAGGGAGAGGCAGGTATTTGAAATATTTCAGCCAGGGCTTTGAGTAGTAGCCTCTTCTATAGGGAAGTGTAGGTGCACCAACCTGATTCAAGCTACAGTTGTTCTGTGTTATGAGCCTCAGATTCAAGCCGCTAATCCTCGCTCTATATCACCTGCTCTCCAGCAATGCACCCTCCTGGGGGCCTGTTCATGTACTCTCTTATCCAGTGCATTTCTGGAACCTGGTTGTAGGGGCAGCAATGACCACTGAGCAGGTTTTCTGATCCCATGCAGATCGGGTGAAAGAGGAGTCCTTAGTGGCTTTTTGCAGGTCTTTTTATTGGTATTTACCCGGTACACAGCAGGCAGGGGTGCTGGGGGGCTGGGAGGCAAGTCTTCACTCTATCTGGGTTCTCTGGCCTTCTCTCAGCTTCTGCTTCTCTTGCTTCTTTCTCGGCTTCTGCTGCTTCTTTCTCGGCTTCTCTTTTGGCTTCTACTGGCGTCCTCATGACACTGCCCTTAAAAGCCCAGTCTTAGCCCAGGTGAATCCCATCTACCTATGCCCACACCCTATTTCAGGTGCCCGCCATCAGGCGTGCATTCAGGACCTCAAGGATCCATCATCTATCCTGATGGCGGGAGGGCAGAAAAGCCTGACATTTTTTCCTTACCCTACACTGGTGTTGGCATGTGTAGGGGAAAGAAAACATCAGGCTTTTCTGCCCTTCCGCCATCAGGATAGATGATGGATCCTTGTCCTGAATGCATGCCTGATGGCGGGCACCTGGAATAGGGTGTGGGCATAGGTAGATGGGATTCAGCTGAGCTGAGACTGTGCTTTTAAGGGCGGCGTCACGGGGGGACGCCAGCAGCAGAAGCAGCAGCAGCAGCAGCACCAGCAGCAGCAGCAGCACCAGCAGCAGCACCAGCAGCAGAAGCAGCAGCAGCAGCAGCCGAAGCCGAAGCCGAGAAGCAGCAGAACGAACGCTAGAGAGCCCAGATAGTGAAGACTTGCTGGGGGCTGGGAGGCCTGCCAGCCTCCCAGCCCCCCAGCCAGCACCCCTGCCTGCCATATGCCTGGTGAACCCCTAATAAAAAACCTGCAAAACTACTGAGGACTCTGACTCCTCCTTTACCCGGTCTGCATGGGATCAGAAAACCTGCACCGTGTCCAGTCCTGCCCCCTACAATTGGCGTATGTCGGCAAGATCCATGCAGACGGGTATTGGAGCCCTCCGAAGACCTGGAGGGACTAAGGAGAACAGACTTTGCCTGTGACGACGCTGGAGGCACCATGGCGGTATAGAAGATGGATACGTCCACGAGCTACAGGATGAGACCTGGCGTGAAGGAGACGCCCGAAAGGACCAGCCAACGACACCGGATAGGACCAGCCAACGACACCGGATAGGACCAGCCAACGACACCGGATAGGACCAGCCAACGACACCGGAAAGGACCAGCCAATGACCCCTGAGGCAGCAGGCCATTGCTGAAGCAGGGAGAGGCCAATGGACTGATAGACTGATGAACTGATGATTTTGGACTGACAATCCCGCCAGAAGGTGGAGGACCTTAGCAGGTTATGTTTATTTTTTGAGAATCTGGGGGTGGCCAGTGGGCCTAGATGGCCAAAAGCAGCCTGTGTATGCCCAGTGGCC